GTTTGTCTTTGCATAGAACTGAGGTTTGTGTAAAATGTTATTGTCCTTTGAAAAAATGCATGCCTAAAACTGTAGCTAAAGCTTTTTTTTTTTCCTTTCTGTGGAAGAACGAACAAATTAAATTTACTCTTATTCTCCACTTAGAATATGGAAAGCCCCCAATTTAGGAATTTTTAATTTTTTTTTTTTACATTTTAATTTTTTAATTGTTTTTATTTTTAGGCAATTGGGGTTAAGTAATTTGCCCAGGGTCACACGGCTAGTAAGTGTCAAGTGTTTGGTCTGACGCCGGATTTGAACTCAGGTCCTCCTGACTTCAGGGCCGGTGCTCTATCCACTGCGCCACCTAGCTGCCCCACAATTTAGGAATTTTTTACTGCCAGAAACTACAGGGAATCTGAGATTAAAGACAGTGCATGTTGGCAAAATTACAGCAAATTTTAAATCTTATTTTCATCATAATGTTGGAGTCTGATTGTGAAGGGCTTTAAATCCCAGATTTAGGATTTTGCATTTTATTCTACAGAAAATAGCAAACCACTGAAGTTTTTTGAGTAAAGGAATGACATGGTTACAGCTATATTTTAGGAATATTAGTTTGGCAGCTATGTAATGAGTTGATTAAAGAGGAAAGAGAATGGAAGCAGACAGACTCATCAGGTTATTGAAATAATCTACCAGCAGTCATGAAGAGCAGAACTAGGATTGAAGCTGTGAGAGTGAAAAAGACAGGATGACTGGGAGTGAGATGAAGATAGGATTAATAAGATTTGACATTTGGTTATGAGGGATAAGAGAGAGTAATAATGTGTCAAGGGTCACATAGTTTGGGAAACTGAATGATTGTAAGATTGGTGTTGCCTTTGAGAAAAATGAGCAGGTTAGGAGGAGGGCTAGGTTTTGGAGTCACATTTTAGATGTGTTGGAGGTGATTATGAGACATCCAGATGGATACGTTCAACAGTTGGTGATGCAGGACTTAGTTCTGGAGAGAGATTTACCTTGGATGTTTATGTATTTGGGGGTTGTTTACGAGAGAAGGCAATATAAAATAATATTGCATTGTTACTAAGTGGAAGAGCTAGGATTTAAACCTTTCTGACTTAAATCTACACACTTTCCATTATACTGTGCTTCCTGCCCTCTTAATTTTTCACCGCATCTTTCTAGAGTGGATCTAGATCTGGAATGTATTCCATCTTTACCAGTTCCTCCTAGAATCCCTAATTTGCCTTATACTTGGGCTCAGCTGTCACTTTCTGCACGAGTCCTTTCCTGATTCCCCAGGTGCCAGTGGCCCTTTGAAATGACCTTTAAAAAATTTCCGATATGTTTTGTATATACCTGTTCTCTCCTCCAAGAAAATGTCAGCTTCAGAGCAGGAATCATTTTATTTTTTGTCTTTGTGACTTCAGCACCTAGCCTGGGTCAAAATTGGTGCTTAATAAATGTTTGTTAATTGATTGATAGAGCTAGGTAACTGCAGGTTGGGATTGCTCTCTTTGGCCATTTGATTGCAAAATGTCAAGTGTGAGTTTGATTTGGAGCTCGGAAGAAATTCTGGACTACCTGTTTCTTTATCTTCTCTCTTCACACAAAGAAGTAATTCTAGGACGTTCATTTCTTGACTTACTAGTTGAAGAGCTTTTAGACGGTTATAGCGAGTACATAGCTGGGCTTTCTGTGTATCTCAATAGCCTCTTGCTTTTATCACTTTGTCTGATTGTCTCTTGTTCCAGATGAAGAAACCCCTTTCACTAATGGAGACAGATGGAACTGTTCTGCAACCTTATAGTATTTTTAAAATACTTATCCATCTGTTTTGTTTTTTAATATCACCATCATTTCCCAATATATTCCTCCCCTACCCAGAAAAACATACCTCATTACAAAGAATTTTTTTAAAAGAAAAAATGTTCAGCAAACAACCATAAGACTTCAGATTTTAGTATCAAACAATAACGCTGATAATAAAAATTATACTGGTTTAAAAAACTTTATTAGGGAACAAAATAAAAATGAACCAGAAATAATTAAACTCAACATTCCAGTGTTTAATGAACTTGTGAGCCTAAATTGTAGGGGGAGGAACTCCCTATTTGACAAGAACTGCTGAGAAAATAGAGATTAGATTTAGGCCAACGCATTGTGTCATTTACCATACTAAGCTCAAAGTAGATGGATGGTATGAATATTCAGGATCATACCATTAAAAATGACAACAGGCCATCTGTGATGCTCATGGTTTAGCCTCTGAAGACAAGGTAAAGATGTGCCCTCTCATGTCTCTTCTTGAAGGCCAAGCTGGAGCATGAGAATTCCTGTGTTCATTTTCACTTTTTCTTGTCTTTCCATTTATACAGCATTGCAGGTGTTGTGCATGTTCTTTCCCTATTCCTGTTTAGTTCACTTGGCATCAGTACCTTTGAGTCTTTCCATACCTCCCTGTATACTCAGAGGTAACATATTCGTATTTAAATCTTAGTCCACAAATTTTCCAAGCTAAATATACAGATGAAGTTACAACTTCACCATTACTTACTGCTTAGCAAAGACATTCAGGAGTTGCTTAAACTTTTTTGTCAAGAATTAATGTGATAGAGTTTGTCTCTTCATTGCCTTTCTTTCTAGTGCACAGCCACCCTCACCCGGCCGTCCCATCTGTTGCTAGTCGTGTTGGAGGCAGCCCTAGTTATGTGGAACCAATCGGGGTGGTCCCTTTCTCTTCTCAGCGAGTAACAGAACCAGAGCACATTTTTCTAGAGAGGAATTGGACCACAGTCAACCACGGGATAAGCTACACTTTCTCCTTCCCTCCACCAATAGAGTGATCAGATTTCCCAAGTATAGAATTCTTTTTATGGATTCTTTATAGTAATTGTTTTATGGCACAGTAATATTCCATCACATTTCATATACCACAGTTTGTCTGCCCATTCTTCAGTTGATGAACATCTACTTTATTCCCAGTTTTTTGCTATGCAAAAAAAAAATGCTGTTAGTATTTTGCTGTATTTTCAATCTCTTTGACTCTCTTCCAAGGGATTATTTTATAGGGAGAAACAATAATAACAAATTTCATTTGGCAGAACAAAGGCCAGGAATCTCAAGAGAAATGATTTTTAAAAGTTAGAATGAAGGGGGATAGTAATGTTCCAACCTTAGAATATACTACAAAGCAATAATTATTTTTTAAAAAAATTATTTTTAGTTTTCAACATTCACTTCCACAAGATTTTGAGTTCCAAATTTTCTTCCCATTTCATCCCTCCGCCACCCCAAAATGACATGCATTCTGAATACCCCTTCCCCTAATCTGCCCACCCTTCTATCTCTCCCTCCCCTTCTCTTATCTCCTTCCCTTTCTGTTTTCCTGTAGGACAGGATAAATTTCTATATATAACAGGAATTATTAAAACTACTTGGTACTGCTTTTTAAAAAAACAAACAGTAAATCAGTAGAACAGACTATTAGGGATGGGAACCAGTGGCCTCGAGGCCACATGTGGCCCTCTCGGTCCTCAAGTGCAGCCCTTTGAATCCAAACTTCACAGGACAAATTTTGTTCTGCACCTGCTACAGTTGCATACACTATTAAAGGCATTGTCTTAACAGAGACTTAGCTAGGTAACAGCATTTTTTGATATTGATGGTTTGTTAATATTACCTGTTAACCTAAAATCTAAAAAAAAGTTTCCCTAATATCAAGAATAAAACATCACTTTGATTTATCCGAGAATATCCACTAAGAAAAGGTAGCCCAGAACGGGGTGGAAAGATGAAAGATGTGTCTGTCTTTCAAATCACTTGACTCCGGTAACTCTGATTCAACCCATTTTTGGCTTTTGTAGAGTAGTTGGACTCAGTGGTCTTGAAGATCTCTTCCAGCTATAAATTTGTGACCCTAAAATCTTCCAGTAGTGAGTTTGAGCTGATAATGTTAGCTAAAGCATGGCTGACATTGAAGCCCAGAGTCTTTTTCTGTGTGTGGTTTTTAGAACAATATTATATTCATCAGACTTTGTACCATGGGACTGAGGAGAAGTGATAGAATCATCAAATATCCTGGCTTACCACTTTTTAAAAAGGAGAGAGAGAGAGAGAGAGAGAGAGAGTGAGTGAGTGTGTGTGTGTGTGTGTGTATGTGAGAGAGTGAGTGAGAGAGAGAAAGAGAGAGTTGTATAAAAGCTTAGAGCTTTGAGAGTCCTTCAACTTCAGGATTAGATGATTTACAGGTGAATTCTAGCAAATATTCAAAGAACAATTAATTCTAATATAACACAGACTGTTTGGAGAAATAAAAAAGATGTGATTCCTTTTTTGGGGAGGGTTAGGCAGTGGGGTTAAGTGACTTGCGCAGGGTCACATAGCTAGTAAGGCCATATTTGAACTCAGGTCCTCCTGAATCCAGGGCCGGTGCTGTATCCAGTGTGTCACCTAGCTGCCCCTCAGATTTTTATGAGAGAATCCTTATTTTAAAAATTTAGTTATTTTAGTTAGTTATATCCTACTCTTTGTGACCCCATTTGGGATTTTCTTGGCAAGGATACTGGAATAGTTTGCCATTTCCTTTTTCAGCTCATTTTGTGGATGAGAAAACTGAGCTAAAAGGTTAAGTGAATTGTCCAGAGTCACACAGCTAATAAGTGTCTAAGGCCAGATTTGAACTCAGGAAGAGGAGTCTTCCTGACTTCAGGCCCAGTGCTCTATCCACGTTGCCACCTAGCATCTGGCTTCAGACACCTAACTATCTGTGTGACCCTGGGTAAGTCATTTAACTTTGTGTGCCTCAGTTTCCTCATCCGTAGAATGAGCTGGAGAAGGAAATGGCAAACCACTGCAGTATTTTTGCCCAGAAAACCGCGGTTCACAAAGAGTCTGGACATGACTGAAAAGATTGAGTAACAGCAACAAAACCAAAAATATGCAGATTTCTCCCACTGTAGACCTGTAGCTGTTATAGTTGTTACCATCCAAACCTTTTCATTTTGTTTTTGCAGTTTTATCTTCAAGACACTAAAAGTAGTAACGGTACCTTTATAAATAGCCAGAGATTGAGTCGAGGATCTGAAGAAAGTCCGCCATGTGAAATTCTTTCTGGTGACATTATCCAGTTTGGTGTAGATGTAACCGAAAACACCCGAAAAGGTAAGAGTATGGGTCCGGTGAGGTGGCTGGGTTATGCATTCTACATGCTGTGTGTTTAATAGCTTGGGCCTAGATCACTTTCTGAGAAGACTCCATTTGTCCAACACAACCAAAGTTCTCTTCCCTTGTCCTTGATGAATTTTTTGCCTGGCCAGGGAAGACAACCTGGTACGAACTAGCTTTGTGAAAATTGAAGGCTCTGGTGAATCCTAGGTTAAGAACACCCGATATGGGGCTTGATAAAGCAGTTGGTTGGCATTTCTTTGAATTCTTGCAGCGAAGTAAAAGTTAACTATCGTGTTTTTAAAGGAACTTAGAAGCTTCTCTTAGTTTACTGGACCCCTCATTCCTTACTAGGCTGAATTCCATTTGTTATTTCAGAGCAAACTGAGCAGAATTAATTAATGGAAAGAAGCAAAGTGTTTTTAATGAGAAACATGAGTTAGTGTCATTTCCTTCAACTCCCTTCCCAAGGCTATTTTATTAATCTCGTTTCAGTTATATTTTAGCTGTGTTATGGGATATTTCAGTAGTGAAGGCTAGCCTGGACACCTCGATATCATAAATAAAAAATATTTATATTGGAAAGGTAAATTTTGAGCAGCATGGTTGGCTGGTAGCCAGAAGAACTCCAGGGCTAGAATTACTTTTTTCTGTCTCTTGGAGCTCCTGAACCCCATCACTGCATAGACCTGCCCAATTAATTTTGAAGCATTGTGAGTGGGGTGTGTGTTAAAAGCACTAGCAGCAAAAAAGGTAAGGGCAGGGAGTAAATCCTTGCAAGCCCCTCTCTCCCCTTTAGTGTTCTCTCTTAGGTTAGATCTCTTTTGATGCCCTTAGAGTTTGTTTCATCTCCTCACTACCCCACTCCAGAGCTCCTTCTCACTGTTTCTCAACCCCCATCCTGTTATAGATCCGAGTGCCCAGATCTTAAACCTGAGATTTCTTTTTTAAAAAATGGCAAAAATGAATATTGCCTGAGCCCTTTGTGTACACACAGACACCATTAGAATCTGTGTAGAAACTTTACCTGCAGGGTTTGGGTTTAGATGAAAAGGGGGAGAAATGAGGAGGGAGGGTTTTTAAAGTCCATCATCTATTTCTTATTCTTCCTAATAATATAATAACAAACTTTGAAAGCCTTCGGCGGTGTTATTCTTCAGGGGAGAAGTTGGGAGATTCCTCTCTGTTCCTGTTGTGCAGTGGAATACAGACAAACCTTAGTTGCAAGTGCCCAAAGCAACAAATTGAAAGGAAAGTATGTGAGCTTGTACTTGGGGCTTCCAGAAAAGAATAAAGGGAGTGATTGGGCACCTTTAAAAGCCTGCCAGGGAATTTTTACTAGTAGGAGACTCTTATTTCATAAGACTTCCCTGTGTTCCTTACCTTTGACAAGATAAGAGTTCTTAGGGGCTCTGATCTGTTTTTTTGTTTCCTGTTCCCTCACTTGCCTGCAGTCTGGTGAATCCTAAGGCTCCCTTTCCAGAAGGTTTTTTAAATACCTAATATAAAAATGTGATTATAAAGGAAACAATTGTGTGGAGATAGGTATCAACAGATGAGGAAAAAGCAACACCTTTGATCTCTAGTTATTTTCCTCTTGTCCTCTTAGCCCAGCAATCTTTTACTTAGCTTCTCATTCCCCTAGCTTCTTTCTCAAGCCAAAGGGCCAGCACTAGTCTGGTTCCAGAGGGTTTCCCTGTGCTAGCTGATGAACACTTAGGAGGTGGAAGAGGTGCTTTTGGCATCCCAGTTGGAACTTTAATCACCTTTTTTTTGTAGAAACATTGCTATAGCTGGTGGTTCAAGGCAGTAGGACATTTAGCATAGTACTGTGCTTTGGGCACTTTATGGTTTAAATAGATTTTTGTGCACTGACTCATAACTTTACAATTTATTATAGGATTGTTTCTATAGGTAAATTTATTCTGATTTGTAGACTTTGGTAATACAAATCTATTCAGAAGTTAGAGTCCATCTCAGTAGGTTTTTTTTCCCTGTCTATAAAATTATGATTCCACATTATTAGTCTCTTGTGATTTTTGAGGGAGAATGACAGTGATCTTAGTAGAGTGCTACATACATGGGTATTCAGGTACATTCTACACAGATATTCAGTGGTACAATGGAAAGGATGCAGGGTATGGAGTCAGAGGGCCTAGTTTTGGAATCCCAGCTCTTAACACCTACTACCTTTCAACATGTTTTAACATTAGCAGTTCTTCTTGGTATAGAGGCAATTTTTTTGTGTGTGTGTATAGAAAATTGCTCTGTCATTGATAATATTGAAAACAGAGTGATGTACAAAGATATCTTCATGTATTACATAACAACTCAACAGATATTTAGTATCTAGGCCTTATGCTACGTGCATTTAATGGTGGCAGAATATCAAGTATCAATTTATGTTATATCTTTTTTTTTTCTTCAGTGAGGCAGTCGGGGTTAAGTGACTTGCCTAGGGTCACACAGCTACTAAGTGTCAAGTGTCTGAGGCCGTATTTGAACTCAGGTCCTCCTGACTACAAGGCCAGATATATTATATTTCGATTGTTCATTGAGCCCGAACATACAAATAAATGCAAAAAATGACATTAACTACCAAAAACTGATGCAAATTAGTTAGTGAACATTTGCTAAATGCCTGCCGTGTGCCAGACACTATACTAAGTGCTGGGGATATTAAAAGAGGCAAAAGACAGTTCTTACCTCAAAAAGTTTATAATCTAATGGGGGAGACAACATGTAAATAAATACATGCCAAGCAAGTTATGTACGGGATAAATAGGAAATAATAGGGAAGGCGGTGGGATTAGGAGGGATTAGGGAAGGCTTCCCATAGCAGGTGGGATTTTAGTTTGGATTTAAAGGTAGGCATGGAGGTCAGTAGTCAGAGTGGAGCAGAGAGAACATTCCTGGAATGAGAGATAACCAGAGAAAATGCCTGGAGCTGAAATGAGAGATACATTTATGTGTTCTTCACGGACTGTCCAGGAGGCCAGTGTCACTGGAATGAAGAGTACAAGTTGTTAAGGTGTAAGAAGACTGGAAAGGTAGGAGGGGACTAGGTGATGAAAGACTTTGGATGCCAAACTCAGCTTCTTGTATTTGATCCTGGGGGGTAGAGAGCCACTGGAGTTTATTGATTAGGGATAACGTGGTGTGACCTGTACTTTAGAAAAATCACTTTGAGAGCTGAATGGAGACTGGACTGGAGTTGGGAGAGCCTTGAGGGAGGCAGATCCATGAGCAACTATTGCTGTAGTTTAGGCTTGAGGTGTTGGGGGCCTTCACCACGGTGAGGACAGTGTCAGCGAAGAGAAGGGGGTATATCCTAGAGATGCTGCAAGGGGGAGCTCTATCAGCCTTGGCATCAGGTTGGATATGCGACTGAGAGATGATGAGGAGTCTAGGATGACTTCTAAGTTGTGAGCCTGAGGGCTTGGGAACATGGCGTTGCCCTCTGCAGTAACAGGGATGGTGGTCAGGGAGAGTTAAGGGGGAAGAAAATGAGTTCTGTTTGGGGTTCAGAGCTTTTTCTATTGAGTTCAGGATGTCTACTGGATATCCATTTTGAGATATCTAAAAGGCAGTTGATGAAGCAAGATTGGAGGTCAGCAGAGGGCTTTGGATAGGTTAGGTAAATTTGAGAGCTATCAGCATAGAGAGAGTAATTACATCCATGGGAGCTGATGAGATTACCGAGTGAAGTAATAGAGAGAGAAGAGAAGAATGACCAGGACAGAGCCATGTGGTATACCTCTGGTTAGAGAGTGAGATGTGGATGAGGGTATGGTAATAATGGAAACTGAGAAAGCATGGTTAGAGAGGTAGGAGGAGAACTGGGAGGGAAGGGGAGAGAGAGAGAGAGAGTCGTGAACCAAAAACTCAGAGAGAAGAGAGTCTAATGAAATAATTAAGCAACTCAAGCCTGAAAGAAGTAATACCTTATGTGAGATGATATTGGCAAGCTCTTTATCAATTGCTCATTGCTTTCACAAATGTTAATTAAGGCGGCCACCTTATTCTATAGATAATTTGAAGAAAAATAAGAGGCCATGGAGATGAAGAAGTACAAACATTCTTACCTATGAAAATTGAACCTTTGGAATACATTGAGTTGTACAAGTACATTTTGTATAATTCCAAATTCTAAAATGAGCGTTTGAAGAGTTAGAGTTTTATCTTGTCCCCTTGAAACAATTTGAGTTGAATAATTCTTGTAGCTAGCCACCTTCTCTTGGTGTCTTTAGTTATATTTGTACTTCTTAGTTATGTATGTTTCTTGAATTTATTTTAAACATTTTTTTTATGTATAACATTGATCTCCTAAAGTTTAAAGCTTATTTGACTTTTTCATGTTACTTTTAAAATGACAGAATATTGTGGAAGTTATAATGACCAGAAATTGCCAAGGATAACCAAATGTGCTTGTTTTTACCCCTGTCTCATGAAGGTCAGTAATAAAACTTTGTTGTTAAAGTCCAGGAATTTCAGTGCAGCCTTGAATTCTCTCCAGGAAGGCAGTGGGTTCTGCCGTAATTGATTCTAGTATTATCTTGTAGAATGTAAATTGTGGGTATTTGACTAAAAATAAATTAGAGATTTATGACTAGAAAACTATTCTCATAGCATCTGTGGATGTTTGTAAAGTGAAGAGTGTTGCCTCCTTTACATGAGATTTGTCACGGCCAAAAATAATTCCTTACTTGATCCTGGCTTTTAGCCTTTCCCAGCATAGCAAGACTGGTCCTTGGACAACAGGCATGTCATTTTACAGTTAGTGGACAGATTTGTAACTTGAAGCCTTTCTGGCTCCATAGCACCTTTGGGGATGTAGGATTTTCCCCAAGGTGTGCTGAGGCACTGGAGGATTCCCTTTAGTTGAGGGGGCATATTGGATTTGATCATTTTTACATTTTGATTATGGTGATGTCATGTGAGCTTGAGAAAGGTTTGGGTTTAGTGCCAGTGATTAAAAAACAGAAAATAATACCCCTTAATTCCCTTGCATCTAACTGACCATTATTTTGGATGCAGTGCTTAGTATGGATTTTTCACATGCTAGTTCTTTCCTTGGTTCTCCTATTCAGGCATTTCTTTGAGGGACAGATTATTTTTCTTTTTTAGCATTTTATCTTAGCATTTTATCATGCAGTACTTTGTATTATAGTTATTATTTGTATAAGGAACTTAATTTTTCCTGTTGAACTGTAAGCTTTTGGAAGTCAGGAAGTTGGCTCATTGCTTAGGAGGTGAACATCACATGGAACTGTGGTATTTAAAACTCATAAAAATGGGAAAAGGACCTACATGTACAAAAATATTTATAGCAGCTCTTTTTGTGGTGGCCAAGAATTGGAAATTGAGGGGTGTGCCCATCAATTGGGGAATGGCTGAAGTTGTGGTATATGAATGTAATGGAATACTATTGTGCTATAAGAAATGATGAGCAGGCAGACTTCAGAAAAACCTGGAAAGACTTGTATGGTCTGATGCTGAATGAAATGAGCAGAACCAGGAGAACGCTGCACACAGTAACAGCCACGTTGTGCAATGACTGACTTCATAGACATGATGGAAAATGCTGTCCACATCCAGAGAAAGAACTATGGAGTCTGAACGCAGACCGAAGCGTACTATTTGATCTCTTTTTTTCTTTTGTTGTTTTATTTCTTTCTTGTGGATCCTTCCTTTGGTTCTAATACTTCTTTACAACATGACTAACGTGAAAAAAAAACGTTTAAAAAAAAAAAAACACCACGTTTCGACACGTCCCCAAAGAGGACGGTGACTCCAGAGAACATTGTGTCACAGTTTTTTTTTTTTAAGTGATCTGAAATTTTGCTTCTTTTTAACCTACTCATTGTACTTTAAAATTTTTTTATTTTTATTATTTCTAGTTACCCATGGATGTATTGTTTCCACAATAAAACTTTTTCTACCAGATGGTATGGAAGCTCGACTACGGTCAGAGTAAGTATAGTTCTTTGATGATGATGATATTAATAGCTCAGATTGTAGTGCTTTACAATGTTCTTTCCCCACAACAACCCTGGGAAGTAGTGCCAGTATTATTATTCCCATTTTACCCATGAGGAAACTGAGATGTTGAAAGAGTAAACAGTTTGCCCAGAAGAAAACAGAGTTAATGTCAGAACAAGGACTCAGACACAGTTTTCCTGACTTGAAACACAGTGATGTTTCAAGGAATTGGGAATGTATGATCTAGAGAAGAGAAGATTTGCTAGGGCCCTTATAGCTGTCTTCAATTATGTGAATGGTTGTCACTTAGCAAGAAGATTATCCCTGTTGAACCTCAGATGGCTGGATGAGGAGCACTGAGTGGAAGGTACAGGGGGCGCATCTGCCTCACAGTTAGAGGGTCTGAAAGTGATACGGGCTCCTCCTCACTGGAGATCCTCAGGTACAGGCACGTGAGCTCAAGAGGAGATTCATGTTCAGCTCTGGGTTGGTCCAGATGGCTTCTGGATTCTTTTCTACTTCTGTGACTTGAGAGGTGAAGAGAAAAAAGAAAAGGTAAAAGGGGGAAGGAAAGGAGTCTTTCACAGACTGAGAAGAAGAAAAATAAGTGGGTGAAGCAGCTTGTCAACTGGAATTGGAGCCCCTCAAAGCTAGACCTTTTCTGGAATCGTTAAAAGACACAGAGGCCCTGAGTTGAGGCTGAACACTGGTGGTTCTTAAAGTGATCTGATCGCTCTTCAGTCATTTGCTTTGGACACACCATTAATGAATGTTTTTCCTTTTGCTGTATTATTTAGGAGATAGTTAGTATGGACCTAGCCCATAAGTGTAGCAAGGCAATGGTGACTTTATTTCTTGTGAGCAAAGTGATGGAAGATATTTTTACTTAAAGTAGAAATTTTTCCCACAGGCAAAAAGCTTCCTCATTTACTATTCTTAACAATTTGGGGTCCCACAAGTTCTGTAATGTTCAGACTTTATTTAACAGAATCACTTAATAAAATAAAATTTACCCATGGTTTAGCAAATTAGTGCTGTCTGGGCTGCCTTTGGCTTCTTTCTTGGTCCTCCTTGCCCCTTTGTTATACTTTCTCATATATTAGGCAGGTAAATATAATTTGGGGCTCATTTCCTCACTTTAAAAATGGGGATTATATACTTGCACAAATTATGCATGATAATTTCTACTCAATTCTATGAATATTAAAATTCAAGAATTTCAAGTTAAGTGGTGACTATGCTAGTGCTTTTCAATGTTTACTCTATGATTAGTTTAATCCATTATACTTTTAAAAACATTTCTCCCCACCCCCTCCACCCCCACCCTCACCTTGCACTTAGTATTCTGTGTATTTCAGTGCCCAGAAAAAAGTACAGCTGAACAGGTATAGAGCCACGTTTCCATGGCCATCACATTCAAAGCATCAGAGATGCTGATTTGTGTATGGGCGATGTTAGGAAGCAAGGAGAGGGAAGAAGAACAATTAATAAGTCAAGGAAGGAAGAGAAGAAGAAGAAAAAAAAAGATGCCAAGAAATGGAAAGGGAGAGAAGTGAGAAGGCCTTGGAGCAAGTGTTGAATCATTGGTGTGTTTATGATAGTTTGTGTTTTTATTAGGATGACTGAGTTAAATTTAAATAAGAAACATTAGATGGGGGGACCTTCCAGCTATGGCAGTGAGCGTCCCACCCCTCATGCTGTGCACAAACATGTTTATGGACATGCTTCCTATTTATACTTTAAAAAAAAGTTTCCGCCATACTGGCCTACCTTTAAGTAGCATGCACATTGTTACACAACTAGAAAATCTTTTTGGGGGGGGGGTCAGGTGACTTGTACAGGGTCACACAGGGCTGGGTCTGAGGCTGGATTTGAACTCAGGTCCTCCTGACTTCAGGGCCGGTGCTCTATCCACTGTACCACCTAGCTGCCCCACCTGGGCTACCTTTAAATTGCACTTTTACCATTTGTAAAGCCCATTCATGTCTGTTATTTCTTTTGATTTTCACAACAGCTTCTTAAAGTAGATAAAATAGAGATTCTCCTCATGCCATTTTGTAGACTGGAGATTTAGGTAGTTACTTGTCTAAGTTCACACAGATGGTGAGACTCAAAGATAGAATTATGCCCTGGTCTAGCACTGTACTTGATATATTATGAAGTGGAACAAAAGATGAGCTCATAATTTGTATAAGACACAGGGTGATGCTTAACGCAGGATTGGTATTATCGGGTTGGGAACAGGAATTAGGCTCACTATGTTCCAAATGAAATGCATCTTCTTTCCCCTAAAACCTATTCTTCTTGTCACTCATTTCCTGTGCCCAGTTGGTCAAAATATATTGGATTTCCATAGTATCTCTTCCCTGAATTATTGTAGTCTTTGCCTCTGCCCTCGAACCACTGTCGTGGTTGCTCGGAACTCTTCAGAGTGTCTTCATTGCTATCAAGTAAAAGCCAGTTCCTTTCACGCCCTCTGGGCTTCAGCCACATTGGACATTTGGTCCAGAGGCACCTTCTGTAGTATTGTTCATACATACTGTTCTCTGTGCCCAGAATACCATTCCCTTCCTCTGGAGAGCCTACCCCACTAAAGCCCCACCTGGCAGCTTGTGGGACTTTCTGAGCTCAGGCTGAGCGTGGTGGTCCTCCTTTAGACCCACACGGGCATGACCACTAGCTGGCTCTGTCAAACGCGCTATTCTCATGGCCACTCTGACTGACATTTATAGTGTTATCAAGCAATTAGTTGCAATTAATATTGTCTGTCAAGTTTTGGAAAGGTGGGGATTACAATTTTAAACTAAATGGCAAGTAGTGATAGGAGGTTGGCTGTTTGGTTACCTCAGTTTTTCTTTGTTGTTCACATAGTCATACAAACTTCAGGCTTACATTCCTGTTGCTGGTAAGCACTTAAAATTGTACGAACTTATTGCATGTTATGTGCAGTTTAAAAAGAAATTGGATGTACATAACTCTGAAGGAAGACTGTAAATTAGGAAGAGTTTGTATTTTAATAATTGTTCAATTTACCAGAGGATCAACTGTAGCGAATCTTTTCAATAGAAGACCTTCCAGTAAATTAAAAATGCAACCTGATTTCTAAAAATTAAGTTGATCTGATCCTGAAAAGCTATCTTGCTTACTATGGAAAGCTAGATGTATTCATTTGGATTCTGTGGGAATTTTGCATATTTATTGATCTTTTAAAAATATTTCAACATTTGTTATGCCTGTTCAGTACAAATTGTTATTTTATTTTCTTCAGTAGTAAATATAAAAGTCAAAGGTTGAAACTTGTGAGTTATATATTTACAGGACTCATTCTGGTTTTTTTGAACCCCTTGCTTTAAAAAATTATTAGATTTAAATGCTCTTTTTTGCTTGTTTTCAGTGTCATCCATGCTCCATTACCAAGTCCCGTTGACAAAGTAAGTTATTTTTACTGTTTGTGTTTCTTGAGAAAGCTGTCTTTTTATTGGGAAATTTTTACTAGTAATGAAGGGAAAAAACCTTACAGCTCAATCAGCTTTTGTTAAAATCTGCAGAATAAAACATTTATTGCAATATGCAAATCTGCAGAAGAAATTTTGGAGGGGAAACAGACCTGTTAATATTGAGTATTGGTCCCTGATCTAATGAGGAGTAGAAAGTGAATCAGGCTCCTTTTCCCTCCTCCCACCAATTGGAAAAAAAAAAAGGCATCCAGAAGAATCAGGATCGTAGACCTAGTGCTGAATGGGGTCTTGAGATTAAGCTATAAAGTCAACCCTTTGTTTTACCGATGAAGAAACTGAGGCCCAGGAGGTTGTGACTTGCCCAGAGCTACACAGTTAGTAAAAGGAGGGTGGCTGATAAAAATATCACAAAATAAAAATAACCTGAATAGAAATGAAAAAATCAAAGCGGGTATGACAACTTTTATATTAATTATTTTATATTAAGTAACCACTATTTAACAATGACCACAATGGAGAACAGACCTGAAGACAGTGCAATCTCAGTTGGAAATATAGGTTCAAAAATCACTCTATTTTCCAAAGAGTTTGGAAAACCTAAAGAAGTATTTAACAGAGGGGTTAGAGCCAAGATGGCAGAGTAAAATCAGCGATCTACTTGAGCTCTCCCTCAAACCCCTCCAAATACCTATAAAAAATGGCTCTAAACAAATTCTAGAGCAGCAGAACCCACAAAAAGACAGAGTGAAACAAATTTCCAGCCCAAGACAACCTGGATGGTTGATTGGAAAGGTCTATTGTGCTGGGCTGGGAGAGGAGCACAGTTCAGTGTGGGCTACGCAGGCTGCGCAGGCAAAGAACAGGCCTCAGCGAACCTGGAGCAGTCCTCATGGGATTGAATCAAGGGGAGTTTCCAGACTTCTCAAGTCACAAACACCAAAGACAACTTAGAAGGTCAGGTGGAAAGGTCTGAACCGCGGTGAGAGAGGAACTCAGTCCGGCCCCAGTCCCAGCACAGTCCCGGGAGTGGCGGCTGTTTCTGGACTTCTCGGCCCACAGACGGTGGGGGCATCGAGTGGCTGATCAGAGGGGGATTACAGGGATCTCTTTGCTGGTGCTGAGGCAGGATTCTCTTGCTTTGCCTGTGCTTGGATCTGGGGTGCAGTTCTGGGTGGTGGTCCTGTGGTGGAGGAGGGGTGCTGGCGTGGTGAAGTTCTAAGGCAGAAAAGAGTGCTTGTGGTCACTCATAGACCAGAGCACAAGCCAGGAAAAGAGTAACACCTCACCCTTGATCACTCCACCTTGGAAGAACTGAAAACTTACAGGTCCCTACAAATATCTCTGAAAACAGGTGCACAAAACCTCCCAAGCTTGGGACAGACATTGTCCACACTGGAAGTAGACCCCTACGTTAACAAAGAGTTTAAAACTCAAGTAATTGGCTGGGATCATGAGCAAACTGCGCAAAAAAAAAAAGTCAGACCATAGAATCTTTCTTTGGTGACAAAGATCAAAACATACAACCAGAAGAAGACAACAAAGTCAAAGCTCCTACATCCAAAGCCTCCAAAAAAAATATAAATTGGTCCCAGGCCATGGAAGAGCTCAAAAAGGATTTTGAGAAGCACGTAAGAGAAGTAAAGAAAAACTGGGAAGAGAAATGAGCATGATGCAAGAAAATCATGAAAAACAAGTCAAGAGCTTGCTAAAGGAGACCCAAAAAAATACTGAAAAAAAAAAAACCTTTAAAAAATAGCCTAACCCAAATGGACCTAACCCTCTTTTGCAGAGGTCCAAAAATCCAGTGAGGAGAAGAATACCCTAAAAAGCAGAATTAACCAAATGGAAAAGGAAGTCCAAAAGTTCACTGAAGAAAATAGCTTCCTTTTTTTTTTTTTTTTTTTTTTTTTTTTAAGGGAGTTGGGGTTAAGTGACTTGCCCAGGGTCACACAGCTAGTAAGTGTTGAAAATAGCTTCCTTAAAAATTTGAGTGGAGCAAATGGAAGCTAGTGACTTTATGAGAAATCAAGGCAACTGTAAAACAAAACCAAAAGAATGAAAAAATAGAAGAGAATGTGAAATATCTCATTGGAAAAACAACTGACCTGGAAAATAGATCCAGGAGAGAGAATTTAAAAATTATTGGATTACTTGAAAGCTCAAAAAAAGAGCCTAGACATCATCTTTCAAGAAATTATCAAGGAAAACTGTCCTGATATTCTCGAACCAGAGGGTAAAATGGAAATGGAAAGAATCCACCAATCACCTCCTGAAAGAGATCCCCAAAGGAAAACTCCTAGGAATATTATAGCCAAATTCCAGAGTTCCCAGGTCAAGAAGAAAATATTGCAAGCAGCCAGATGGAAACAATTCAAGTATTGTGGAAACACAATCAGGATAATACAAGATTTAACATCTTCTACATTAAGGGACTGGAGGGCTTGGAATATAATATTCTGGAGGTCAAAAGAGATAGGATTACAACTTACCCAGCAAAATTGAGTATAATCCTTCAGGGGGAAAAATGGCCATTCAGTGAAATAGAGAACTTTCAGACATTCTTGATGGAAAGACCAGAGCTGAATAGAAAATTTGACTTTCAAATACAAGACTCAAGAGAAGCATGAAAAGGTAAATAGGAAAGAGAAATCATAAGGGACTTATTAAAGTTGAACTGTTTACATTCCTACATGGAAAGATGATATTTGTAACTCATGAGAGCTTTGTCAGTATTAGGGTAGTTGAAGGGAAAAAAATGTGTGTGTGTGTGTGTGTGTGTGTGTGTGTGTAGATAGTTAGCTAGATAGAGGGCACAGGGTGAGTTGAAGATAAAGGGGTGATATCTGGAGAATAAAATTAAGGGGTGACAGAGGATTATAATAGGAGAAAGGGAGAGAATGAGGTAAATTATCTCACATGAAACAGACAAGAAAAGGCTTTTACAGTGGAGGGGAAATGGGGGAGGTGAGAGGGAATGAGTGAATCTTATTCTCATAGGATTTGGCTTAAGGAGGGAATAACATAAACAATGGGGTATGGAAATCTATCTTATTCTACAGGAAATTAAGGGGGGAAGGGGATGATAGAGGGGAGGGCAGATTGGGGGAGGGAATAATCAGAAGCAGACACTTCTGAGGAGGGACCGGGTCAAAAGAGAGAATAGAATAAACAGGGTGGTATAGGATGAAGGGAAATACACTTAATTTTTCACAATATGACTACTGTGGAAGTGTTTTGTGTGACTACACACGTATAACCCTATATTGAGTTGCTTGCCTTATCAATGAGGGTGGGTAGGCAGGGAGGAAGGGAGAGAATTTGGAACCTAAAGTTTTAAAAACAAATGTTAAAAATTGTTTTTACGTGCAACTGGGAAATAAGATATACCAGCAGTGGGATATAGAAATCTATCCTGCTCTACAGGACAATAGAAGGGGAAGGGGATGAGAGAAGGGGAGGGCAGATCAGGAGAAGGGGTATTCAGAATGCTTGCCATCTTGGGGTGGGGGGAGGGGTGAGATGGGGAGAAAATTTGGAATTCAAAATCTTGTAGAAGTGAATATTGAAAACTAAAAATAAATAAATAAAAATGAAAGTTTTTAAAAAAAAGAAATATTTAACAGTCCTAGGAGAGGTCAGAATCTATTAATGTCATGATTTCTGACATCTCATATCTTTCAAAAAACAGAATTCTAAACAATATAATTGAAGAGATTGTCAAACTGTACTGGAAGTATTCCAAAAAAGTGACAGTACACAAATAGAATTTGTGAGACCCAGATAAGAAAGATCTCAAATTTGGTAATTGTATATGTATTTTAATTAAACTGTGCCATTATAATGATATGACCAAATGCTTCAAGCTTTCAGAAGAGGCAAAAATGACTTCAGTTCACCTGAATCAGAACTGAGTTTGTGTAGAATACACATGAAGGGTGAAATTGGAAGCCAGCACATAAACAATTGAGTAGCATGAGACATGGAGTCAGAGGACAGACCTGGAAAGACTCTGCAATTTGAAATTGAGAGAGGGGGATTGGAAAAGCCTTTAGACTGGCAAGTTTTGCCAGCAGATAAGCACAAGCTTCTTCAGTTAGTTTATGACCAACAAGCTTCCAGCCATACCAGATAAGTATTAATTCAGTTCACACTTTAAAAATCAAGATAAAAGAGTTGTTAACAAAATATGAGAAGTTCAGAGCTTTGACCAGAGGACTGCATTTTTCAGAAGGAAAGTTCAAGAAAGTAAGATGGAGGAAGATAGCCAGAAGGTGGAAGACATCGGGAGTAGTGCAGTGTCCATGTAAATCTTCTGTTTTTGACAGCAGAGAAGTCCTAAGTTAAGAAAGTCTGTAGAGGTAAAGAAAATTGTGTAACTGTGAATATAGGAGACAGGACCTTTTATATAGTGACTTTTAAGTTTTGGAAGGTATGTATTCCCTTTCCTTCATGTATGATTGAAGAAGAGATGAAAATCTAACCTTTGTAATGCTAAATGTAAACACTAGGTTTTTCATTAAGATTTTAGAAAATCCCAGCATAAATATGAAACCAGAATCTAACAAGCTATTTGTAAGCAGTATCTTTAATATGGAAATTTTTTGCACTTTTAAAAATGCAAGGTTTCCGTCCAGTTCAGCATTCACTTGCCAGATGATAGAGAGTTAGAATGTAGTATCAGTTCATGTTAAATTCACAGCCCAGACAGTGAGGAAAAACAGAAATAACATATTATGTTGAAATGTTTTATTCAACATGAGGTTTTATCATTTTAGAATACAAATGTACCTAATAATTCTATAGTGATAGCCATAAAGGAAAATTTCAGTCTTTCAAAAATATCAAAAACACAAATAGAACATTTTAATACCAAAATATGATAAATCAAAAAAGTTTTAAAAATTAACTATCACATATAATTGATATATGTAAGGAACTTGATGAAGAAAATAAAGAGTATACTTTTTAATTAA